AGCCTTAGTGCCCATCAGCAGATGAGTGGATTAGAAAACTGGTACATTTACACAATGGAATACTACACTGCTGTAAAAAAGAAAGAACTCTTAACCATTGACAACACCATGGCTGGACATGGGGAGCATTATGCTAAATGAAATAAGCCAGTTGGAGAAAGATAAATATCACATGATCTCACTCATTTGTGGAATATAATCAACAACATAAACTGATGGACAAAAATAGATTCAGAGACAGAGAAGCATTGATCAGACCATCAACCCTCAGAGGGAAGGCAGGGGAGGGTGGGGGCAGAGGGGTAAGAGATCAACCAAAGGACTTGTATGCATGCATATAAGCACAACCAATGCACACAGACACTAGGGGGGGTGAGGGCATGTGTTGGGGGTGGGGGGGGGGACGGTAGGAGTGGCTGGGGAGAGGTCAATGGGGAAAAAAGGGAGATATATGTAATATTTTAAACAATAAAGAATTATAAAAAAAATTTTTGGAAAATTTAAAAAAAGCTGTTGGTAAAACAAAAAATAACAGTACTGGTATACAAGAAAACATTTATTTGAAGTACTTAGCACAGATTCTGACATATAGTATATACTCAATAATTATTAACCATTTTATTATGATTAACTGCAATAGTATATGGAACATGGACACAATTTCACTTTTCACATATTTAAGTTGATAAAGTTGTAGGTGAATTTTTGCACTTATTATTTCCAGTAGAGCTGTGATAATATTTCTTGTGCAGTAAAAAAAAAAAAAAAAAAAAAAAAAAAAAGCTGTACTGACTCAGAGGCATCTATTTTTGAGCCAGAGTTCATGTAAGAGCTTGCACTGGTAGAACTACTTAGCTCTAAAGAAAATGATGAGAAAAGAGACAGATATTTCATTGGAAGGACAGGATAGAGAGACCGTCTCCCCCTTTCTCCTCCCCCTCCCCCCCCAGTCTATTCAGGGTATACAAGTAGTTATTTGTTGATAACTCTATTTATTCTGTACTTTTTATTTTCTGGTTATCAGCATTAACTTTAGACAAAAAAAGCACATTGTATTTGCTTAATATGTCTAGAATAATGGCATGGCTAGATAACTATTTCAGTGATGGTTAAAAATATTTTTTCCTCTGCCAATAATTCTTGTTTAACCAAGCCAAAATCAATCTGTGGATCATAATACTATTCTGGGACTTTGATTAAAAATCACAGAAGGTTTTAATCTCTTTACTGCAAATATCCTAAAATAGGAGCAATGCTATTTTCATGAATCAAATGCATTTCAACTACTATTCCTGGATTAAATTGTTATAACTATTAAAAAACCATATATAAGAATGAAGGCTGGGTAGGTAGGGCCTGGAAAGTGGCATGAGGGGGTGGTTAAAGGAGTGGATAGGTTCATGAAATCATTACTTGTTCTTTATTTTGATTGCCAGAATTATTACTTGAACAATAATTTTTTTAGCTTTTTTTTTTAACAATTTTTTTATAAACATTGTCAGGGGTGGGGGGGCAGTCATACATTACTTCCAAGATAAGGCTATTGGAGTAACAGTTGTTTGAGACAGACAACATGGACATGAAGAGAGCATCTTCTCTTTTAAGCTTAAATTTTTGAACATGAGCTTAAAGAAGAAATCTCTAGCTCAGGTCTTAATTGCTTTCCTCCCTAGTTTCTCCCTTTCCTGTTTTACCAGTATGCGTAACATTTGGTGTAAAAACTGAAGAAAACTGGCCAGCTCCCTTGGAGCTAATGAGCTGCTCCTATGATCCCATTTTAAAGTTGAGGACACCAAGGCTGAGATGATCACGGCATTTTAGGCATTAAGAGGGGCCTTTGAAGGCATCTAATCCAACCCTTTTGCGCCTACCTCTAATTTGACCACTTGACACCTGGGGAAGGTTAACACCTTGTAAATGGTGGAGGCAGAATTCAAGCCTGTCCTAAAACCATGTTCTTTCCAAGCTGCCTCAGTACCTGCTTGGGATTTTCTTGCCTGTGTTGGAGGAAGGCAGCCCAGAAATCAATTCCTGGTATTTTCGGGGGCTGTAGAGGTCTAGGTACCAATTTTACCTTCGGGCTTCCTTATAGGCCCTGCTGAAGGCCTTCCTTAGAGCAATACTTGATCTTGATCTTCTTCTCTACCTCTGGGAGTGGGTCTGACCTGTGCACCCCCAGACAGACACTTATTCCCAGCATCCTTTAGATTTGGAGACCACTCCATGCTCCTTAATCCAGTCCAAGGTTCTATCTCTGCAATAATTTTTTCAGTAAAAAAAAAGAAAAAAAGAAAAAAGAAGAGAAATACTGGAATACAATTTGTGGTAAGTCAAGCACAAGCTTGAGAGAAAGCTTTCATTACTAAACACAGTAACCTATTTATAGTGTTTGTCACCTTTGGTTGCTTTCAAATGACTCCTTGTGCAGACTCTTTTATCTCTGCCATGAAAACCCATATCTGGCTAAAGGCTGGAAAAGCAAGCACGTTTCCTTCTAACTGCCCTGCATTCATTTGGGGTGGAGATGATTAGAAGCACAGTTAATTGTTAGTAAGATCGGAGCACTTTGGGTTCTTTGCTACTCAACAGAGTGCTTTTGTGGCTGGTTTTTGAGCACAGACACATCTCCTTTATTTTTACATACAGAGCTCTCTTTGACATACAAGCCAGAAATTTACTTGAAGCAACCTAAATAGTATGAGAAAAAAATGTCTGTTTGGTTGGTTTCTTTTTTTAAAACACTGAGCATTGTAGAGTATCCTTACAGCATAATGTAGGTGTGTTCCATATAGAACAGCTGAACGTAAGCAACTTATTAAGGAGGAAGTGAGCACAAAAAGCTTTTTGAATTCACTTAAAATATTTTGAACCCTTGGTGTACCTTAATTACTCAGGAGTCTCTAACACTAGGTTTTGAAATATGAGCCAAATGGGTTTGAGAATAAAGCCTTTTTTTTTTCTGTCTTAGCTACATTTTGGAAAATGTTTACATATACACTGAGTGGCCAGATTATTATGACCACCTGACATTTGTAGGCAAATTAGCTATAATTTTGCACTGAAGTTGCTAGAAGGCCAGACCATTATAAATAGGGAAGCAGGTTGTTTAACATGACAGTAGAAGTGATTTTTTTTTTCTGAAGATATGGGTAAACAACGCAATTTAACAGCCTTTGAACATGAAATATATATATATATATATATATATATATATATATATGTATATGTATATATATATATTTTAAAGTGGCTGATCAGAAATCATTTAAAGTGGCTGATCAGAAATCAGTAATGCATACACAAAATAAAGAGATGAAAGCAAAAGTAAAATATGTGGGAATATAAAATTAAGCTACTAGTAAGAATAATATTACTACACAAATGTATCTTGCGCCGAAACCGGTTTGGCTCAGTGGATGGAGCGTCGGCCTGCGGACTGAGGGGTCCCGGGTTCGATTCCGGTCGGGGGCATGTACCTGGGCTGCGGGCACATCCCCAGTGGGAGATGTGCGGGAGGCGGCTGATCGATGTTTCTCTCCCATCGATGTTTCTAGCTCTCTATCTCTCTCCCTTCCTCTCTGTAAAAAATCAATAAAATATATTTAAAAAAAAATGTATCTTGTGAGGTGCATCTACTTGGTCTACTAATAGGTATGGGAAGTATACCTGAATTTAAATGAAAACTCTAATACTGATTATAATTCACATCTCTTTTCATTGCCCTGGAGTTCTTAACAATGCCCAAACAACTCTAAATTTTCACATTTGTAAATTAGCGTATCCAGTGATATCCTCCTGGAATCTTCTTGCTCCTTAGTCATCTTACCTCCAACTAGCCTGTCATCCTCAGAAGTTGATGCACTAGTCATCCCAGCCCATTTTACTTCTTGGTTTTAAAAAGGGGGGATTCTGAATGGGGTTTGTGGGGAATGGGATGGCGTAGGGCAGTTAGATATTATTGGAACCATTTGGGAGAGGATAAAGAAGACATGTTTAAAATTTGTGATTTTTAGTTACCAAGTCATCACAACAGAAGGATTTCATGTAGATAAGGCAAGCTTTCAGAGAATGTATAACATGTCTTGATAGTAAACGTTCCCCTACTCACATAATAAGCCTAAATGTCCAGGATTAGAAACTTTGTAAAAAGCTCTTGACCAAAAAAACTTGAACACATCATTATCTAAAAAGACCTGAAAAGAATGCAAAGCATTAGAGAACATAATTGTTCAACAATATGGTAAATATGTCAAACCAACAGAATCTTATGTTGCTATTAAAATTATAAAAGTTGCATAAACGGCCAAAGCCGGTTTGGCTCAGTGGATAGAGCGTCAGCCTGTGGACTGAAGGGTCGCAGGTTCGATTCCAGTCAAGGGCATGTACCTGGGTTGCGGGCACATCCCCAGTGGGGGATATGCAGGAGGCAGCTGATCGATGTTTCTCTCTCATCGATGTTTCTAACTATCTCTCTCCCTTCCTCTCTGTAGAAAATCAATAAAATATTTTTTTTTTAAAAAAAGTTGCATAAACGGAAGAGTTTTTTTATAAAAGTTATAAAAAGTAATTATGATAAAATAGAAAATGAAAACAGTTATGTAAACTATAAAATACGTAAGCTATCTAAGCTAGACAAAATATAAGGTTGGTGTGTAAAAACCAAAGTTATACTGTATTGGGTCGACCAAGATGATTATTTTCTTTCTCACAGTATTTTGTGATGTTTTTTCATTATAATAAACATGATTGAAGAAGAAAATAAATTAAAAACAATTTTTCACGTGAAGAATATTTTTTACAGGTTTACCAAATAATGTGTACTTCCCATTCATTAAAATGTGATTTGGTTTTTAAGTCTAAAATTTACAGACTCCTGGGAGATTATCTGAACTTGCCATTAAAATTTGCATTTGGGGGGAGTATTTTTCCATAGAAATTTATACAGAAGAACTCAACAATGTTTTGTTTTTTTCCCTCCCCCCCCCCTTTTTTTTTTTTAGGGATTGGCATAGGAGTCTTGGTTCGAGAATACAGCAAACTCTCTAATCTGGAGAAGTTCTACTTTGCCTTTCCTGGAGAAATCCTAATGAGGATGCTGAAACTCATCATTTTGCCACTAATTGTATCCAGCATGATCACAGGTACCTTAAATTGCTCTTTTCTAATTATGGGAAAAATCAAAATGTATTTGATGTAACATACACACTCTCTCACATACCTTACTTGGAAAGTGTATAATTGCTTGAGTGGAAATATTCCATTATTCACAAAGTGGCATTGCTTTGTGGTACTATCTACCAGAGCTCAAATATTCATACGACCATTTTCAAACATATTATAAATAAAACTCTATCCAGGGCACAAAAGTTTAAAAAAAAAAAAGGCACGTTTTTTCACTGAAATGTCAGCCAGTGTTCTCAGGCGAAATGTGGTTGTCAGTTTTGATTGCGTTTTCCATAGTTCACTCATTTGTTTCCCCACTGCAGCCGTCCTGCCCTCGATCCTCTCAGCAGCTGCCTTCAGGGTCCTCTCCCCCTTCTCCTCACCCACTTGCAATCCTCCACAGAACTCAGAGCCTGCTACATACCTGCCCTGCAAATGGTCCCAGGGTGCCAGCAGCCACATCCTGTGGGACAGGTTCAGTGATAGGTTTGCACCATATTTTAAAAGCCTAGTATTTTTAAATCTAAACTTGTGACGCAGTTAAATTTGGAAATTATTTTTCCCTTACTGATCATTATATTGCAGATTCCCTTTAAAGATCAAGATCCCTTATATAGATGGAAATTAATTTGGTTTACAAAAAATGCTATTTGTCTGGTTCTGGTAAACTTCTCTGTGCATTTCACAGTTTCTTGTACTTACCTTAATTCTGGCAATAAGCAAAATGTGGCATGACAATCTATTAGTGCTGTCAGCTGGACAACCAAGGTTTTATATAACTATGTAATTAGGATTCTTGTTTTTCTATTACAGTTTACATTCCATATTATTTTGTATTAGTTTCAAGTGTACTGGAGTGGTTAGATGGTCTATATTAGGATTCTTGACATGTCCTCTTCTGGAACATTTTTCCCACTGCTACTAAAGAGGCCTGGGATTAACCTATGTAGAGTACTGGACATTGGCTGGGGAAGGAAGGGTGGGTGTCAGGATCCGCTGCATTCAGCAGTTGCATTGCTATAGATTTGGCCATTGAACTTTTCAAATGCCAAACCACCAGACTAGAATCCCTTGGGAGCCTTGTTCCTAAATGGTCTTGGTGTTGTTGGCTTATTACAGATCTGAAGAGAGAGTTTAGTTATTTTTATTTATGAATTTAATTATGTTTTTAAATGCCTGGCTTCAGTTAGGCCCTGCAAGCCGGAGGACCAAGTCAGCAGACCAGTTGTCGGTACCATACAATGTTTGTTTATTTAACTTGAAATTATTATCAGCATTTAAAATTTGGAAGATTTCATGTAAGCATCCAGATTTCTGGCTTCCTTGGTGGGGGGAAAGAGAAGGTAAGACCAGGAAACACTTGAACCTGTGTTCCCACCTACCAACAGTGATCTGGAGCTTAAAGATAGCTAGCTACTCTATGTAGTTGGAGTGAATGTATTTGAGGCTATCAGTTTCCACCATTCCCTATTGCCTAATACCTCATCCACTTCACTCATTTATGTTAATCTCTCCGGCCCCTGTGAGCATTGCTGTTGTGACAACCCTTTAGAATTTTTTTCCATATCAAAGGCTCTTAGTGTTTTCTTAGGCTCCTTTGAAACCATGATGGAAGTTTTGGACTCCCTCCCAAGAAAAATGTTCACCGTTGTACTTACATACTGTATTGTGCATGCAGTTTCACAAAGTTCATAAACCACTTGGTGATCGATACTATTTAAAATTTGTTTCTATGGAGGAAGGTATGGAAGTTGATCCAAATTAGTCAGCAAATCCAAAACTCATGCAGTGAACCAGGCTTTAGAAGATAATACATGTATGAATATACTAGCTGTATAATGTTTGAAAACATGTACTGCTCTTGGCAGTCAGTAAGTAGTAAGATTTTTGCAGTCTGGCTGTTTTCGGTGCTACTTAGCCTTGCATATAATCTAGGAAATAATTTACAACCTTCAGCATTCCCCTCACATAACCCAGCTATTTTTTTGGAGCTATAGCACAGGACTCCATTTTTCCTTCACTAAACCCCCAGCAGTTAAACAGGACTCAGAGAGAAGAACCACTACCCATACCTTTGACATAGATCAATAAAATGGTCAAAGATTCAAGGGACATGAGCAAAGCAGGATGGGAACAGTAATTCCACATGTTTTTAAGTTGTCAGACTAAAAGAAAAAAGTAATAATACTCGTGCAGTCAGGAGGGTAAAGCTGAAGTTAGGAAATACTCAGGAGGAGCTGCTTTCACATCTCAGAAGCCTTTATAAATCCACAGATCAATAGCTTATTTTATGCATCCAGCAGGCCAGCAGAGGATGCATGTTGGAAGCTGGGTGAGTTGAATGAGCCCCGGGGATGCATTAACTGAAGATAGAGACACAGCAAAAATTGAGGCCCAAGACTAAGAACCTGTGCTCCTGCTTAAAGGAAATGCTCTCGTCAAAGTAACAAGTGGAAAAAACTCTCTGCTGTTAAAGCCTCTGCTAACATAAAAGTAATTACTTTATAGCTTTAAAAAAAAAAATGAGGAGAATCCCTCTTCCTGTGATGGTGAGGATCCGATATCATGTTAATCAGGAACATTTGAATACAGACTGGCTATTAGATGGCGCCAAGAAATGGTTGATAAGTCTGTGTTGATAATGGTATTCGTTATGTAAGAAAATGTCAGTTTTAAATGTATATGGGATTATGTAGGTTTGAGATGACAATGTCTGGAATTTGCCTTAAAAAGGGAGAGAGCGACAAGGGACAGTAGACATAATCTCAAGGCGTTTTTACAGACAGACAATGTAGGCACTCACAAATTTTTACCCATAATTTATATCTGAGGGACACTGGTGCCATGCACACTGTGGGCCTGTTAACATTTAGGTTTGAAAGCTCTATTTACATCAAACCACGAGGGAACTAGCAGGGGAAATGGCTTATGAACATGCCTGAGAACTGTGTCCCCACAAAATCCTGCTCCAGTCTCACCAGCCAGTGAGTATAAATTCGGGTCACATTTTCTTTCATGCCCAAATTATGATGATTTTCACTTCCTACGAGCAGCACAGGAAAGGAACAGCCCCTCAGCTCCCACTCCCAGAGGTTCCCAGAGCATCTTTCCAGGATGCGCCTCAGAAGTGCTCCCCTGGGCACAGCTGCCACCTGTGGGGTCTCCTGTGGCTGCCGCCACTCCTCTGACTCTGAGGAGCTCCCCTCTGCTTCTCATCCCAAGATGAGAATGAGAATTTAATTCTTCATAGCACAGCAAAGACTAGGCTGCTGTTTGGGACAAAGTTTTCTGAAAGGTTGGAGGATAAAAGGAGGTGAAACAACAGTGGCATAGAGCTGCTCCCTGAAGGGGCTCTTCCGAGAGCTTTGGGGTCCCCTAAGGGGGCTGCCCCTCTGCTTAGCTGTCGATCCACCTCCATGAGTGTGCGACCAGCTTATTCTTATACACGAAGATGTTCTATCCAGGCATTGCTGCGCCCCAGGCGCATCACCCAACACTAGATTCTAAGAGTGAAAAGTTTCGTCATCACAGAGGCCCTTTTGTGTTGGCCAGGAGCAACCTCGATTGCTCTTATGAAATATCCACTTCAGGGAAAACCCCTACCAAAGCCTCAGCGGGCTGGCTTTGTTGTGAGGGCCTCATCAGGAGACTCACACTAGAATGAATACCTTTAGTACCAGCTGTGTTGTGGCATACCCACCCAACTTGGCAGACTTGGAGTTTGTCCAGTTTGGGCTATACCAAGTCCGCGTGGCTCCTGTGCACAGTCCCCCTCCAGAGCAAGAGGCTCATTCCTACCCCCTCCTGTGGCATCTTACTCTGGATTTCCTACAGATGCTGGCTCCTCAAGAAGCAGCACCAGTTTGCAGCTCTGTGCATCCCACGTTTACACCAAGTCTTTCCCTTTCCCGCCACCTCAGGACCCTGAGACCTGGACCCTAGTACTGATGACTTCGATAAAAACTTTTGTGATGTTTGTCAGTGACTTTCCAGTTTCCATAAGAGCACTGATTGGGTAACAGACTTACCTTTAAGGGAGCTTCCCCAAAGATAAATTTAAGACACCACCGTGGGGAGGAAAAATATTTTTTTAAAGGCTCCAAACTTTTAAATGGTTGTTACTCCAACTTCTGCATCAGGATTTCAAAATTTTTAGGGCTTGATCTCACCTGACAGGGCAGAGGTTTTCCACCACTTTTTAACAAAGAAAAGAAATTAAAGGCTTCACTATAACCAGTATTTATTAAACAGCCAGCTGGAGAATACCTATGTGAGTCCATTTCTTTTCAAGTGGGAGAATGCAAGCTTCTTGTAAAGAGCCAGGTAGTGCATGTTTGGGGCTTTTCAGGACATTGTGTCTCTGTCCAACTACCCAACTGGTTGTTGTAGAAAAGATAGACATTAGATAAATGACTGGGCATGGCTGTGTGCCAATAAAACCTTTATTTACAAAAAACGGGAGGCCAGCCAGGTTCTAACCCAAGCTGAGATGAAAGATAAGATCAGATTCTGACCTTCAAAGATACAGTCTAGTCAGGTAGAATCCTGGTGACAAACCAACAAACATTTTCTCACTCTCTTTTTTTTCAATCTCTTCCCTCCTTCTCTCCCGCCCCGCCCCCCCACACCCACACACACAGCTGTCAGTCTGCTCTATCTATGAGTCTGTCTCTATTTTGCTTGTTAGTTTATTTGTTCATTAGATTCCACATATGAGTGAAATCATATGTTACTTACCTCTGAGGGAAAGTGTGCATGCTGTTCTTGAAACATGGTGGTTTTTTATATAGTTCAGTCTCTATGAAAATTGCCATTTCAAAGTGGCTTACGAACTTAAAACTCCATACAGGCTGAGGATGAACATCTTGCCTCATTGGCAACATCTGGAGCCACTGGGCTCTGCCTTCATTTCAAGGAGCACCTCTTTTTTCTTTCCTCAGCCTTGTTTGGGAACCAAGAAAATAAGATGGCCTAAGCC